TGGAGCCGTTGCCCCGTATAGATGATCTTTTAGATCGGGTGCAGGGCTGCAAGTATTTTTCAAAGATAGACTTGAAGTCCGGATATCATCAGATAGAGGTCCATGCTGATGATCAGTTCCGGACTAGATATGGGCACTACGAGTTTATAGTTATGCCCTTTGGACTAACCAACGCGCCAACAACTTTTCAGCGTTGTATGAATGACTTGTTTAGGCCGTGGTTAGACAGGTTTGTAGTAGTCTACTTAGATGACATTCCAGTGTTCAGTAGGACCCTCCAGGAGCATGAGGGTCATCTAAGGCAGGTCTTGGAGAAGCTCAGAGAGGCCCACTTCAGGCGCAAAGAAGAGCGAATGGGCAAAGACCCAAGTTCTGTATTTAGGCCATGTTTTAGACGGAGACGACATCAAACCAGAAGATAGTAAGATCGCAACGATTAGAGATTGGCCTACGCCCCACACGTTGACAGAGTTGCGGTCGTTCTTAGGCCTAGCTAACTATTACAGGAAGTTTGTGAGAAACTTCTCCACCATCGCTGCACCCCTTCGCAGGTTGTTGAAGAAAGAAACAATCTGGAGATGGGACAAGGACTGCACGGCTGCTATGAAGAAGTTGAAGCAAGCGTTGATAGAGTACCCAATCCTTAAGGTAGTCGATCCGTCCTTACCTTTCGTTGTCACCACTGACGCGAGCCAATATGGTATAGGTGTTGTATTACAGCAAGACGATGGCAACGAATATAGACCCGTAGAGTTCATGTCTGTTAGGATGCCTTCAGAGAAGGTAGCGACATCTACCTACGAGAGGGAACTCTACGCTCTCAGGCAAGCATTAGAACATTGAAAGCACTACTTGCTTGGGAGGCACTTCAAAGTCTACTCAGACCACGAGACATTAAGGTGGCTGAAGACGCAGGCCAAGATGACACCTAAGCTTACTAGGTGGGCTGCAGAGTTAGACCAATATAACTTTGAGCTTAAGCCAGTCAAAGGGAAGTATAATGTAGTTGCGGATGCTCTGAGTAGGAGAGCTAACTACTTTGGAGCAATAGTTCATTATCTGGATATAGGGAGAGACCTGCAGTAGAAAGTTAGAGAGGCGTATGCGCAAGACCCTATCTATGGTGACCTCCTCAAGAGAGTAAAGGAGGCCCTAGAGTCCGAACCTGACTACCACACTACTGATGGGCTGCTATTCGAGAAGACTAACATAGTTGACCGATTGTGTGTTCCTAAAAGTGAGGAGATCCGTAGTTTGATCCTAGGGGAATGCCACGATACTGAGGGACATTTTGGGTGGCAAAAGACTCTAGCTAAACCTCATGCGCGCGTACATATGGCCTGGGATGAAGGCCGACTGCATAGAGTATGTTCGCAATTGTAAGGTCTGCAAGAGAAATAAGACCTCTACGCGTGCCCCTCTAGGTCTTCTCAGACCCTTGCCTATTCCTGATCAGCCAGGAGACTCAGTGTCCATTGACTTTATGGACACCCATGTCAAGAGTAGGCACGGCAAGAGCCAAGTCATGGTAATAGTTGATAGATTCAGTAAGTATGTTGTTTTTGTCCCTTTGCCTTCAGAGGCACACACAGAATTAGTTATTCAGAAGTTCTTTGATCATTGGGTCAGTGAACACGGGATTCCACTGTCTATAGTTAGAGTGATAGAGACACCCGGTTCACTAATCATAACTGGCAGGAGTTGATGAGAGTCTATGGCTCCAAAGGAGTTGCTGATGTCATTTGGCCGTCATCAAGAGACTAACGGTCAGATTGAACAAATGAATAAGATCCTGCAACAAGTTCTGCGTATTTACATTAGACCGGTTCAAGTCAATTGGGATGAGATCCTCCCAAAGGTAGCCAGTGCATACAACAATAGCGTGCATTTAGCTACTTGTCGCACTCCCAACGAGTTGCATAAGTCTTTCAAACCACGTAGACCATTTGAAGGGCTTAACCATGACCAGATTCAGAGGCTGCCCCCCGGAACTAGGGAGTTTGCACTTCAGCACGAGAAAGAGTTAGCTACTGTTGTTG